CCACCCCCGGTAATGTGCTGCTGTTGTGGAGCCTAAACCTGAAAAAGGATTTCCAAAATGAATGAAACTAGAGCTAATTACATCAATCAGATCAAAGGTTACCAGATTACCATGGGGCAACTCGAAATAGAGAAGGGCACATAAAAAATGATGTCTACAAAGAATCCAGGCCCTGGAAATGATCCATAAAAGGCAAGAGTAGAGAATGACCATAGATAAACCCAAGATTACAAAGTTGAGAGTCATAGACAACATTTAAGAACTGATTATGACCAGTTGACATAGATAGTAGAGCATAGGAGAGATGGAGTGAAGAGAGCAGCATTCAGAAAGAGAAAAAATAACCATGAAGGTTGTTTATGGGAAGCCAAACTTTATACCAAACATTATATTAAAACCTTGTTCAGGAATTGAAGGAATTGTAGATTTATAAGTTAGGATTTCTCTTGTGGCAGATCCCAGAAAATGAGTTGTTTGTTCCCTGAAGACTGGAGACAGCTGGGCCCCCCCTACAAAGGGAGTGTTACTTCCTGGGAAATACTTCCTGAGCTAGAACATTAGGTTGACAATAGAGAAAAAATCACCTTCATTTACAAAGAATTCCTTTTGTTATTTGCTTCCCCAGATTATCAATAAATACACAGAGAAACATGACTTGGGGTCTTCAGTAGAGAACTGCTGGCCCCCTGTTTTATGCTTTCTGCTCTATCTTATTCCTGGCTGTTTTTCTCATTATTAATAATTATAAAATTACTTTACCTTTGGTCTGCAACATTCGTTAATCCAAGAAATAGCATGCACCTCAATCTATCAAGGAAAGGACCCCTGATAATAACAAAGACGATATGCCACGGTAAAGGGGGAAATGAGCTGTCTTTATTCTAATAGTGTTATCTTTATTTAAATATGAGGAGCTCTGGTGGCCTAGGTACAAGAAGCTGTACTGCAATCCCCAAGACACATGGTTCAAAGCCACCAGCTGCTCTCAGGGAGAAGGATGGGCAATCTCCTCCCAAGGGATTAACTGCCTCTGAAAACCTGCTGGAGGGTCAGATGTGGGTCGGTTCTGACTCAATTGTACACAACAACAATAACATTTAAATAAAGGTATTTAAGTTGAAAACTAAAGAAAAATATTCAGTAAATAATAGTAAGAAGACATGAAGACATAATAAAGATTGTTAGGATGGCAGAAAGACACTGAATCTAGGGAACACTGTCACAATAAGACTCAGAAGTTAAGATATTTCTAAATGGAAGAAAGTTTTAAAGCTACAAGTTTAATCCACTACTGGAGTCCAGCTACACTTCCTGATTCCCACAATCTTCCTCAAAACCATTTTGAAACCATCTTTCATCTTTGAAAGTCTGTTCTACACTAGGGTTGTGATGTGGCCTGAGAGTTATAGCCCTCAAAAACTAAGTGTTCCTTTTTTCACACTTCTGAGCCCCATTTCTTCAATGTGATTGCAGATCCTGAACTCTTCTAACTTAAGTCTTTCCAACAGGAATTTTTTCTTTTTACCTTTCGAGACATTTGCTTGGCTGCTTTTGAAAAATAGGTGAGCTTTTCATCTCCCAAAAGAGTATGACGTGATTCTTCTGTTGGATGAACTCTGAAACCGTCCTGTTGTTTAAGTATCATGCTATCTGCTTCTGAGGCTTCCCAGTCTAATATATCCTCTTGTTCAATCTGAAAAATACTTGATGTAGTTTCAGGAAGTTCTTCAAGCTGACTTTCCTGGAATTGGTAAACAGAAAAGAATGCTTTTTTTTATTGGCCTTTCCAAAGCTTTAAGGCATGCAATGTTTTCTAGGTCATAACAAAATCTATAGGAAAAGATGTTTGAGATTAATCAGAAGTAATAAATTTCTTCTAAAGATTTAGAAAGAAATTCAAATGTAATTAATAAAAATAAAGGTTGGTCAAGTATTGCTCACAACCCTTGTTTCAGAAAAGATAGCGACCCCACAGTTACTATCACAAATCTAAGGAAATAGACAAAGAATATAATCTTACTTTTACTTCATCCCACACTCAACACATAGACAAGAGATTTTAATCAAAAGACATCACTGCATGATTCTAATTTTCATTATTTCAACTTGACTTTCAGATTAGTTTTTGGTTCACTGAGATAACTGTTGTTGTTGTATGCCATCAAGTCAGAACTGACTCTTAGCTTACCCTCTAGCAGGTTTTCAGAGGCAGCAAATCGCATAGGAGATTTCCTGTCTTTCTCCCATGGAGCAGCTGATGGATTCAGTGTTCCTTTGGGATATGAGAAAAGGGATACTGCTCCTGCAAAAACCTGACCTCAGTTCCTCAGGACAGGGATGACGTACCAACTCAGAGGCGTTGGGGAAATGAAAAGACACCCAAGCTCCATCCCAAGGCCAATTAAAGGGCTCTCACAAGATATCATCCCAGCTGCTTTGTATCCCTTAAAAAATCCTTACTAACTTATAACTGTATCTCATCAGATCTTGATGAAGTTCTGGTATGGCCATATTTGTCTAAACCAAGGTTATTTAGGATTATGGATCACATGCAATTAAAATCCCATTGATTTCAAAACAATATTTTTTAAAAATTAAGAAATCCTGCTGATTCAAATTTTTTAAAAGATGGAAACCAATCTGATAGAAAATCCTGCTGAATGATTGTAAAATGCAATTCTATTGTTCTGTTCTTTCATATATGCATTTGCTAATAAGTAAAATAAAATGTTAAGAAGGCATGTGGTACCAAATATTACACATGCCTACTACTTTAGTTTGGAAGGAGGAGTGGCATCTACTTCCATAATAGCTTGCCTCCGGAAACCCTATGAACCTGGAGAGAGGATGAAAGGCACCCAAACGTTGAGGACTCTCCTTCATAGGGTCACTATGAGTCACCTGTGACTCGATGGCACTTAACAACAACAACACTTTAGTATGCAAAAGAGGACTTTTGGATCAAAAAAGTTTGTGAAATGAAACTTCGATCTTAAACTGTTGCTCTTAGAAAGTCATTGTATGGAAAGAGAACTTTGGAATCAAACGGGGATCTATTCAAATTGATAGGTGATATTAGTCCGGTGGGGGGAAAGAGTTAATAAACGAGTAGAGTATATACATTGGGATGATGTGCATAGGGGCCCCATACCTACACCATCATTTTATATTCACTTGGTTTTTTCCTCATTGTTGTTGTTGTTGTTACGTGCCATAGAGTCGCTTGCGACTCATAGCAACCCTATGTACAAGAGCCCTAACCGCCGTTCTATCCTGTGCCAACCTCGTAGTCTCAAACACCCTCATTTCCACCACTCCACTCACAGAATCGATCCATCTCATCGAGGGTCTTCCTCTCCTGCACCGTCCTTCCACTCTCCCAAACATGATGTCCCTCTCCAAAGACCAGACCCTCCTTGCAACATGCCCAAAGTATGTCAGGAGAAGCTTCAGAATCTGACATTATCCTTTAGCCTCTGTTCTTGGTATAAAACCAGCCATCCATCTGCCATTCTTTTATAGACAATCTCCTACTCCCTCAATGCTTTTAAAATTCTATCTTTGGTTTTGTGTTTACAAATTTACCTTGGAAAAAGTAGCTTGGGGTGAATTTATCATGTGCAGGAGTTACTTTTTCCCTTGCTTTTAGATTATTTGTTCAATATACAGATTGAACAGGTATAATGAAAGATGCAAGCTTGATGCACTTTTGTTGTGATTTTATTGTTTTTTATGAGTCTTGTGTTCACCAGGTTTTAATCATCCCTTCCTTTCTTTTGACTTTATTTTGCTCCCGGCTTCTTCAACACACTCTCCAAGGGTTCTGGTTTGGGAGACCGAGTAGATGAAGATATAACCCACACTCCAAAACAGAAAATGCACAAAGAAGAAACACGTTTACAGAGAGGATAATTTTTATTCTTTAAACATGAATCACTGAGTTAATTTCCTCAGAACTCTACCCAACCTCTCTTCCTTCCAAAGCCTTTGCTTGTTTCCATTTTCTGCAAACAGAGATATAGTTTTACCAGTAGCATTTTTAAAAACTCAAAAATTCAAATTCAAACTCACCACAGTTTGGTTCCAATTCAAAGCAACCTTCCATCGGCCAGCAAAGGCTGTAAAGCACGACAGAAGGGAACTGCTCATTATTTTTTTTCCCCCTCACTCAGAGCCACTTGGGAATTCAAATTCTTGGAGACATTCAGTCTTCAAGTTAGCATCACAACTATCTATGGACTAAGCCACCAGGACCACCCAATTAGCTAGTTCATCTGCTGATTAAGCTCTTATGGGCTAGTTGTACTTTCAATCCAATGGCAGGCAGTGCAAATTTACCAGGTGCTGCTCGGAAGGAAGATGGGCAATCTCTTTCCATATGATTTATAGACTTGGAAAACCTGCTGGAGGGTCAGCTATGAGTTGGTTCCAACTCAACAGCACATAACAACAATATTTATTCCATAGCTTATGGTGGTGTTGTTAGGTGCTATCAAGTCGTCTAGGACTTAATAGCAAAATAGGTACAAACCTTGTCCTATCCTGCCATTCTCATGATCTCAGACCTATTTGATACCATTGTTAGAGTCACTATTTCAGTCTATCTTGTTGAGAATTTTCCTCTCTAATTCTTCCCGTTTCCTAGCATGATGGGTTTTTTTTTTCAGCTGGTCATTTTACAGTTTATTGTTGTTGTTATTTTGTGCTGTCAAGTCAGAACTGACTCACAGCCAACCTTCCAGTGGGTTTTCAGAGGCAGTTTAATGGCACAGGAGGAGACTGCCCTTCCTTCTCCTGCAGCTGATGGATTACAATTGTGTGTCATTGAGATTGCAGCACAGTTAACCACTGGGCCACCAGAGTACCTCAAAGCTACTGGTCTCCTAAATTTAGGCTACCAGGGCTCCGAAATTTGCCCTAATATTTTTTACAAGCCCTACAGTTTTAAGTATTATACATACGTCCTTGATGCATCTTGAGTTAGCTTTTGTATATGGCATGAGGTATCAATATTGTTTCTGTTTTCTGCAATAGTTACCCAGGTTTGCCAGCACCATTTGTTAAAAAGGTTCTTTAACCCACTTCATACATTTCATCTCTTTGTCAAATATATCCATAGGTAAATGCATTTATTTCTGGGTTCTCAATACTGTTCCATTGATCTATGTATCATCTGTTGTTGTACCAATACCAAGTTGTTTTGATGACTGTGGCTTTCTTTGTGGCTTTGAGATCAGAAAGTTGGGGTTTTGTTTTCTTCTTTAGCAGTGCTTTAGTGTTTTGCCTATCTGAGATCTCTTTCCTCTCCATGTAAAGTTGATGATTATTTTCTCCATCTCACTGAAGAATTATGATAGAGATCTGGATCAAGATTGCACTGTATCAACAGACAGCTTTTGGTAATATTGCCATATTCATACTGTTAATTCTTCCAAACCATTAATTTATTTTTTCATATTTTAAGGTGTCCTTGGGGTTTTCTTCATTTCTTTATATAGAGCTTTTAAATATCTGGTTAGATTTCTTTCTAAATATTTAATCTTTAAGGTGACTATTATACATGATATTGTTTTCCTTATTTTCTTCTAGAGTTCTGTGTGTTAATGGAGAGCAAGCTGACTGATTTTTCTATATTGATTTTATACTTGCCATTTTGCTTGTCAGGTCAATTAGATCCCGTAATTTTCTTGCTGACTCTTTGGAATTTTTAATGTATATTATCATATAACGTATAAATAGAAAAATTATTGTTTCCTCTTTGCCAATATAGGTGTATTTTATTTCTTTTTCTTGTCATATTGCTCTGTCTAGGGCTTTCAATATTGTATTATTTACTTCTTCTGATTCTTTGTTGAGTTTATAGTTGTTCTGTCATTCATTAAAAGTGGTATATTGAAATCTCCTGTTATTACTATGAAATTGTTTATTTCTCTTTTCCAATTGCTAAAACTTGATTTATGTACCTTACAAGTCTTCTAGTTGTTGTGGTTGTTGTTAGATCCTATTTCATAGTCATGTCCTCTTATTCAATTTACTCTTTGATCATTATATAATGCCCTTTCTTTGTTCCCCCACTGTAACTGGTAGTTTATTATTGTTATTTTGTTGCTGTTATTTATAGTATACACAGCAAAACATACACCAATTCAACAATTTCTTCGTGTACAATTAAGTAATATTGGTGGCATTTTTTGAAAGGTGCAATCATCCTCATTCTCCTTCCCTAGGTTGTTCCTCCTCTGCTAACACAACTAACTCACTGACTGCTAAGATTCTGATCTCATCTTTCAAGCGGTTGTTGTCAATCTGGTCCCATATATTAAAAATCAAAGTCATTGCCTTTGAATCAGAACCAACTCATTGCTGACCCTCCAATGAGTTTCCAAGGCTGTAAATGGAATGAGAGATTATTCATCTTTGTCCCTTGCAGCCAATGTTGTTGTTATATGCTGTTGAGTCAGAACCAACTCAGAGGTGACTCTCCAGCAACATTCAGAGGCAGTTAAAAACATGGGAGGAGAATATCTATCCTTCACCCATGGAGCAGCTGGTGGATTTGCATCACATGACTTTGGACTTGCAGCATAACTTGTTACCACTAGGCCACCAGAATTCCTTATCATTCAAATTCCTAGAGAGGCAGATCCTTTAACAGCACAGCTCCCAAGGACTATGCTACTAGAGCCCTCTTGATCTCATATAGATTCTTGTTGTTGTTGTTATGTGCTGTTGAGTCACTTG